GCACTCGCCCTATAGCAAAAAAAAAAAAAAAAAAAGAGAGAGAACCCCAAAATGTTTCCCTAAGGGAGCTCTGATGGTGGTGACTGAGGCATCCCCTGAAAAGAGCCCTGGGAAAGCTGTGAACAGAAGTCACGTTTTTTTTCTGCTGCATCTGCAGAGCCCATAACTCAAAGCTGATTTATCCAGTGGTTAGTTAAATGAACAGCCCTGAGGGAAAGCTGGGAGGGCGGGTAGTCTGAGAGCTCTCAAATTACTGATTTCCCAGGGAAGAGACAGAATTATCAGCCTGGAGAGAACCAATGATACAAACCTATTCAACAAGAGACCAGCTGCCATGCCCCAGGGCTGTGGACAGGACTCACACCCAGGCAGCCATCACAGGCAAAGTGCTGGCCACCCAGGAACTGTCCAGCATCCTAGATTCCCTTGAGCCTGGCTTTTCACTGGATGGTCTGTGAATTCTAGGTCTGATCACCTAAGCTCACCGGGCCCTCAGGCTGCCAGACCTCAGAAAGGCAATCCTACTCTACCCCTTTCTACAGTGGCAAGAGAGATCTTGTCCCAAACCCCGGGACACACACCACAGCTTTCTGTGGGTCCCCACAATTCTGAGTCCACACTCCACCCCTGGCACTGTGGGGCCCCATTCCCTCCCATCTACCTCCTCTCCTGCTGCTCCCCAACCCTGCAACCTCTAGGCCACGCACTCAGAACCTGGTTCTCCAAGGCCATGCTCTCCAAAGCCCACAAGTCATTGCCCAGCTGTCACCTCTGTGAACTGGTGGGTCCAGGGACTCCCCCAGGACACCTTACCTGTCCTGAGCTCAGTGCCCTCAGTGGCAATCAACTGTCTATATACTCTGTCTCCCCACGGGGGTTAGGGGAAGGGGGTTCTGCTATGGTTCTGCTATGAGGGGTTAGGGGAAGGGGGTTCTGCTACGAGCACACCAGGTCAGAATGTCGCCACAGAGCTCAGAGGACAACGGGCTCAAACACTGCATCCCACACATTGACGCTGGACGGGTCTCCCTGCCCCTCCTCTGTACCTCCACACCCAGATCTAAATTCCCACTCCTCTTCTTGCTCCAGCCCCTAACCTGCATGTCCTGTGTGGGGCCCTGACCAGCATCCCATGTGACAAGCCACTTAACCTGTGTCGCAATTCCTCAGAGATCCTACCCAGCAAGACTTGTATACAGACTTCAATGGGTTACGGCAGCTAGAGGTTGGCAGAGTAAGCCCTTTACTAACATCGCTGTTATCATTAAAAAGTGCCCATAGCATAGCCAGCCCTGTCCTCCAACTTTTTCACAACCAGTATAAGGGTTTTCCTGAGCCAAGAACAAGAGAAAACCACTTTCTTCAACCTTTGGCTATGGCCCCATCAGGTGAGGCTGAGTCAGAAGGATCTGACTGCAGGGCATATAAACCTGGAGCACAGAGCCCCATCCCAGAGACCAGCATGGGTCCCACAGCACAGGCCGAATGAGCCATTCCCAATCTCCCCCGGTCTCTGGGTCTGAGTCTTACCGAGCAGCCTGGCCAAGGAGATCTGGAACACAGAGCGTCCTGTCCCCATTCTTAGACGCCTCACTGAGGCCATGGTATGGGGACAAAGAGGCCTGTCAAGAGTCCCCTTTCTCTGGCCACACTGCTCAGCCCTGACTCCAGTCTCAACAGAGGGGGTCTCATCAGTCAGATGCTCTGCTAAGGCCAGAATCTTCTATAACCATGGACTCCCACCCAGGACAGCTAACTGCGTAAACATGCACCTCCTCCCCAGCCCTATACTAAGGATGACCCCAGATTCTCTCTCTGAGTCCTCGCAATGCCTCTGAGAAGCCCCTGTACTAGCTTCCTTTTACTGAGACTCAGAAAGGTTAAGCAACTGCCAAGGTCACACAGCCAGGAAGCAGCAGCCCCAGGAAGGTACCCCAAACTCCAGAAACAAATTCTGCATCCCCTGAACCATATCCTATGTCCCTTGTCAAGGGTCCTGCAAGATTTGGGATGAACTGGAAAAACATCTGGTCCCAGAAAGCAAATGAATGTCCTCCCTGGGGGTATGGCACCTCGAAGCTGGATAGACAAACCAGGTGACTGCCTCAGCCTCTAGTTTTCTTTCTTTTTTCTTTTTTAAAACTTTATTTATTTATTTCTATTTCACCAGAGAGGGACAGAGAGAGAGAGAGAAAGCAAGCCACCAGGTCTAGGACTCGAAGCACAGTCAGCCATGTGGGAGTCCAGTGCCCTTAACCACCATGCCACCCCCTAATGTCCTGCCAGGGGCCCTAATGACTCCCAGTATTCCACAGCTGGGCATATGCTGCAGACCAACAGATGGGGACCACTGTTCCAACCCAGTCTCTTTCCAGACAGAGGAGAAAAGTGAGACCCCAAGAAGGAAGTGGCCCAGGCATGAATATCCAGCATTGTACTAGCAGTACCATACCAGAACCCAACACTGTGACCTTGGGCAGTTGTTAGGGCCCCTCTGGGCTTTAGTTTTCAACTGAAAAAGGAAGCTAAGGCCCTTCAGCCTCAAGGCGAGCACCTAATCCCCCTGGTGTCTGCCAGGAACTGGACTCCACCCTCCCCGCCCTCCACTGGATTCAGCAATCTCTCGGAGGAGGGCTGTAAACAGGAAGGGCCTGGGAGAGCTGGGGCAAGAACTCTAGGACTGGTAGTTGCAGAGAGCAAGGGGAAGAAGCTGCACTACGACCTAAAGTGGGACCAGGCTCTGAGGAAGGGAGGTCCTCTTGGAACCAGGAATGGTACAGGCCTCCCACTTGGGTTCCGACCCCACGTCCTCCACTTAACGACTGTGTGATCTTGGACAGGGTAGCGCGCTCTCTGAGCCTCACTTTCTCCCAATCACGGGATCAGGGAAAATGAAAGCACTGCCTCCTAGGAATCATTAGGGTGACGTGGTCTGGGCCCCCACCTGCTTAGGAAAGGTGTCAGAGAGGGATACAGCGGGCTGCAGCGGGGCTGGACTGCAGTCCCTGGCCCAGGAGAGGCTCTCTCCGGCCGGCTCGTCGGGGACAGGACGCGACCCGGCAGCGCCCCACCGATCTCGGAGCTCCCACCTCTGCTCACACTCCTGGGGAAAGCTGCTCCCCTCGCTCCCAGAACGGCTCATGCCCAGCTCGCACTCCAGTCTGGTGGGGGCGCGCCGGTAGCGCCGCGAGGTGCGGGGACGGCAGTACCTCTACATGCGACCCGGCTCCCGGTCCAGTCCCCTCCCCAGGCGCGGCCCGCTCACCAGAGTCGACTTGGATGCTTTGGCAAGTGCACAACGCCGCCGGGCAATCGCGGTCGCTGCCGCGGGACCAGCCCAGAAGAGGTTCAGACTCCTGCTCCGCCATCTGGTGCCGGTGCGCTAGACCCGGCCCTCAGATGCGAAGAGTCGCGAGCGCCAACTCAACTGCGCAGGCGCAGCGGACCTGTCTCTGGCGTGGGGAAGCAGCGGGCAGCGCTGTGACGCATGGAACTCCTTTCACTATCAGCCAATGAGAACAGAGAATACGTGCGTGAAGGCGGGGCTTCCTAGGGCCCCGCTCCCGGGGTAAGACTAGCTTTCTTCCACTCAGGGATGGGCGCTACCGTGGGGTTTGTTTTCCTTCTGTTTTGTTTTGTTTTTGTTTTGTTTTCCTTCTGTTTTGTTTTGTCTTTGAGAGAGATTTTTGTTATAGGGCGCATGCGCTGGTTGGAGACAGAAAGCAAGAAATCACTCACCAGGAGGGGATGGCCACACCGCAGTTCCTTCCTCTTCATTCTCCTCTCAGGATCTTGGGCACGCATGCACACGGGCCCACCATGAGTTTTAACTCGCCAGGTCCGGGACTCGAACCACAGTCGACTATATGGGATTCCTGCAATGTAACCATTTCGCCATCTGCTGGTCCCCTACTCTAGGGTTTTATGGACCTTCATAGGGAATGCGTTCTCAAAGAATGTTCTCAGGATCAAAAGCATCAGCATCACCTGGAACTTTTTAAAAATATAAATCCATGGCCCTCCCAGGCATATGAATCAGAAATTCTTACCGTAGGAACGTGTATTTTAACAAGCATGCAATATAATTCTGGTGCATGTCTGTAGTAGGTATGAGAGTGAACGCAAAAGACAAAATCAGGAGAGAGATAATAGCCAAATCCCCAAACAGGCCAGTTTTGGCCAGTATGATAAGGCCGTTCTCTCTCCTTTAACCTTTACAAGAAAAGTATGTTTGAAATGACTGATTTATTAATACTTTGTTTTCTGTTTCTGCTTTCCTCTGCCCTTTTCTGTCTGTAAAACCAAACTCTCCTGTTCAGCTAGTTGAAAGGATTTTTTTCTATTTATAAAATCAGGTGCTGTGCCATTCTAGAATCACAAACAAAAGCCAACTAAGATTTTTAAACTAAATTTGTTGTGGTTTTATCTTTTGACATGGCTTTGATTTGCATTTCCCTAACTATTAATGATGTTGAGGGGGTTTTTTTGTTGTTTTTCATTTTGGCAAGTTTTTTGCTTTAGTTTTGGCGTTTTATGTTTGTTGTTTTTGTTTTATGTTTTGCCAGAGGTCACATGATGAAGAAAGAAGGAAAAAGTATCCCCTAATGGGACCTAGTCACACTGCAATCCTTTTTTCTCCAATTCTTCATCCTGTCAAGAGCCTGATGTGTTTTTCAAGTCGCAGGGGTTGAGAGTCAAACCCTGGTATGCCACATAGGATCTGGCTTCTTCTGCTATGGTACACACTTGTCAAGCATCTTTTCATGTGTTTAGTTTATCTTCAGAGAAATATCTGTTCATGTCCTTTGCCCATTTTTTTTTTAATTTTATTATCATCATAATCTTCTTTCTATTACACTAGATTACATATAACTTTACATTGACTTCCATTGCTTTTTCAAAAGGGAATGCCATGCATGTCAGTCAATACAGAGATATCAATCTCCCCGCTTTATCATTCAATATCTTTTCCATGCTTTTCCCAATAATTATTATTATAATTTTTTTAAACAGTCAATCACTATTTCTCATTTTGCTTATTAAAAAGACTTCACCCATCATGAAATACTTTCCAGACCGGTTCAGTTGAGAATACTATACATGTCATCATCAACAGATAATAAACCATATCTATTTCTCATTAACATCCTGCCTCTCGATTGTTCACTGCTGTCTTTATCCTCTTCTCTCTCCTTTTTTTTTTTTATACTTTGTTTTTTATTATACATTTTTTTTTCTCTCATCACAACACACATATGAATTTTCCATCCAAAATACACTGTGCATTGGCTCAATCAAGCACATCAACATATATGTTCTCAGCAAATGATTTCCCAATTTTTGTGTCCTGCATACCTTGCCTTTTGTTTTGCCATCCTAGGTTCCCCATCCCCACCCTCTGCCATGTCCCATCTTCCTCCTCCATTGTCCCTGACATTCATGATTGCCCTCAATGGCTTCCGCCCCCCCCCATTCAATTGTTCTACCAATGAACTCAATTTGTCTAAATATATCCACTAGCTAGCACAGCTGACATATCCTTACACATGTATCCAAATTCCTTTGCCCATTTTTGAATCAGGTTGTTGGGGGTTTTTTGTTGTTGTTGAGTTTTAGAATATTAATTTATATTAATAGGAAATTAATTAATACCATGTAAATGTTGTGCAAATATTTTCTCCCATTCTGTGGACTGCCTTTTTACTTTTTTGACAGTATCTTTTTTTTCTTTCTTCCGTTCCTTTTTTTTTAATTGCCAAAGAATGGATGAGTTTCACAGAGTGAGAGAGAAAGAGAGAATCTCCTCCAATGGGATATGGTCATACTGCAATTCTTTTTCCTTCGTTTTTCTGTCATGGCAGGATTTGGGGCACCCATGCACATATACCCAGCATGTTTTTCAAGCTACTGGGGTGGGGATTTGAACTCTTGTCAATTATGTTGGATCCAGCTCCCTGTGCACTATAGGCCCGGTCCTGATGGTATCTTTTGATGCACAAAAATTTTAAATTTTCATGAAGCCAAATTTGTCTCTTTTTGTTGCCCATTCCTTCGATGTCATATCCAAGAAATAGCCAAACCTATTCTCATGAAGCTGAGACATAGGGAGGTTCCAAAGTGAGATGAGGAACATTCCAAACACCTAAAATCTGACAGACAAGAAGTGGCTGAGAGACTTGGTCTGAACCAGCTGGAACCAAGATACACCTGGAACAATCTCTACCTAACCTTCAGACTCATACCTTTATTGCGCAGTATTAGCATGCTAGATGACACTCCCACCTGTATCATGACAGTTTAGACTAACCATGGCAATGACAGTACCTACTACCCTAACAAGGCCAAAAAATGAGAGGGCCAGTAGCTCCAAGTAAACAACTGCACTTTTTCTGGAAAAGTCATAAATAAACTGCCCATTAATTAGCCTGGCATTAAGTCAAGCCATATAAGCCAAAAACCCACCGGGTTTTCCCTGCCTATGGGGTAGCCCTTCTATCTTTCTTTCTTGGTAATAGTTCTCGCCCAGAGGAAGGGATAAAACTGTTCACCTATTTCCCCTCTCATGGGTGCTCCACCTATGGAAGAGTCACTCTGTACTCTCCTTAATAAGTTTTTCATTCTTCCTCAGTGGCTCACTCTTGAGTGCTTTTCGGTGCAAAGCCAAGGACCCTCACACCCCAGATAGACATCTTTAAGAGTTTAGTCTTTCTTGCAACAAAGGCTTGCCTCAAAGATCTTTCTTCTAAGACCTCCATTTAGTAAGGCTCATGTGATTACTTTGGGCCCATCAGATAATCCAGGATAATCTCCCTGTTTGAAGATCAACTAACTTTAGTTATATCTGCAAAGTTCCTTTTGCCATCTAACCTAAAATAATCAGGGGCTCTATGCCAAGGGGTAAAGGGTATGGAGGCCAACAAAACTCTACCTAGTTAGAATACAAAAGATGCTAATTAAAATAATAAATTGTTGAGCCCATTGGCTGGAAAATAGTTAAAAGATGATACAACTCTGGAGGGCAATGGTGTAGTTGCTCCAGGTGATTAGAAAGAAATCACAGGATATGGCCTCAGGTTTAAAGATTTTTGTTTTGTTTTAAACAAGAAGCATGCATTTTAAAACCTATAAAAAGTAAGATATTTTTATTTTGAAAAAAAGGAAATAGTAGGTGCTCATAGCTCTCTGCAAAAATAGCATATCTCCTGTGAATTGTATTTATTGCATCTAAAGAACTCACTCATTGTTTGGGTACAAATTCCCCAGAGGCTCAAGTGGAATGTGGTTGCCACTAAACATTTACACAGACTTGATGTCAGCCTGGATGGGATGCAGGCTAGGCTCAAAGAAAGAGCAGTCACAAAGGAGGAGAGGGAAATAAACTATGGAGGTGGGGCCCAGTGAGGTTCTGAAAGAGGGTGCTGAGCTCCAGGTGCAAATGTTCAGAAAGTCTCTGGGGTGCAGGCAGACAATTATGGCCATCGCCAGTATTCAGTAACTCACTCGTCCATTATTTATGGGTACCAGCAGGGAGAAAAAGGGCTGGCAGTTTCCTCTGAGTATCCTGGTCCTCACAGCAGCCCAGAAGCCCTGTTTTTTAGTGTCCTGGGCCCTGGTGCAGCACCAAGGGAGTAGGGCTGGCCTGGGACTGACAGAGAAATGCCAATTTGGGATCTCAAGCAAGTCACAGTCACCACCCATGCCTCAGTTTCCTTGTTGGTGGGGTCATAACAAGCCCAAACCCACTTTAAGAGTGAAGGGGCTCTCGTGGGCACACATGTACTGTAGCTGGGATCTAGGCTGCTTCCTCTAGGTCCCTTCCACTCTGTGAGACTGACCAGGAACCAGCCAGCCCTGCCCAACAAGTATTTCCTGAGCACCTCCTGCATGCTCAGCACAATCCCAGGTGCTGGGGAAAAAATAGGCAACAGGGAACAAAACGGGGTTGCATTCTGCCTCTGTCACTTACACTCCTAGATGGGCCCAGCTGTGAGACCATGGGCACATCATGCCCTTCTCTGAGCTTCAGTTTCCCCATCTGTACAGTGGGGAGAGAATTCCACCGGCCTCACACAGTTGTTGGGAGATTCAAATCTGAGGCACGTCAAGTGCAGGCAAATAGAAGGCACTTGGCAAAAGGGGCACTGTTCCACCCCCAGCTCCACCCCCAGAGCTCCTAGTCTGGTCCAGTGGTGGGGACAGACAGAACTACGAAAGAGGCATTTGGTACAGCATTTCCCAGGTTAGGAAGGAAGGTGTGCAGACTCAGTGGCTTAGGCCACACACAGCCCTAAGGCTGTGCAACTTAGAAGAGCTCTCCACCCTCCTTTTATGGATGGGAAAACATCCCAGAAAAAAGATATATTCTGCAAAGTCTTCTCTTGTCTGAAGCAGAAACTGGATGAGACCCAGTCTATGGATCTTTCTGGTGCCCTAGACCAGAAGGCAGTTTTATAGTGGCAGTGATATTCTCTGACCTTTTTCCATCCACCCTCTAACTCTGTCTTCCCCTCTCTCTCATTCTTCCAGCC